CTTCTTCCAGTTAAATCTACTTACAGATAAAATGCTGATAAGTGCCTTGATCCTCAGTTCCTGATGATGTCTTTTAAGTATTCAAGAATGCTGTTCTCTCACTGCAAAAAGTGGGATAAATTTATACATATTTTCTTCTACTTTTTATCAGTCTTACCTATGCGTGTTTGACTGTCTCTCAGTATGTGTTTGCACAGTGCTCGATACAATGGGACCTTAGTCTAATCCAGAAAGTAATAACCAGTTTTTTAAAATTTAGGATACTCTATCCATCCAAACAGCAGTTTGTCAGTGCCGTTGACAGTGCAACTTGGAAGGTAATAAGCAATTAAATGAGGGATCACAGAGAAAGGTGAATCACACTATTTTTTTCAGAGAGGTAGTGGGTGTAAAAGTGTATGAATACCTTGTTGTACTACTCAGTGAGGGTTTATTTGGATTATAGAGACATGGAAATAACATGGATGGGCCAGTATTTCTTTTGTCTACTTTCTAACACAACAGCAATTTTGTCCATTTGCCCTGGAAATAGAACGGGTGTGGATTTGCATGGCACAAGCATTTATGCTGAAGACATCAATTGAATGCTGTGAATGCCCAAATGCTCTTATTTATTTAAAAAAAAAAAAAAAAAGAAAACCCAGCAACAAAACAAAAGCAAAAAACAAGTCCTTCATTATCAGTAAGTACGTGAGACATGCTGTTTCATTTATACCAGCTGTACTGCTTTCCACAGGGCTTGCCAATCTCCTGAGTTACTCATTTATTGGAGGATGGCTATGTGTGTGTAGGGTTTTCCTGTGTTTATTTGAATTGTCCCTGTTGTTCGAGCGTTGGAAGAAGCTGCTCACAGCACAGTGCATCACGATCCTGTGCTTTTGGCATGCTTGCCAACAGCATTTACGTGACATGTTTCAGATTAGGCAGCTTGAGGAGAGACTATTAAGATAGTACGTGTCTCTTGTTTCATTTTAAGATGAAATTGGAGTTTCGGTTGTGGTGGTTCTCATATAGGTTGTGCAATAAGGAAATATATCAAATTTATTCTGAAGAATTTGCAGTCTACATAAACTTAGGACTAGGAAGGAGGAGAAGAGAGAATGCGGACTTCTCTACTTCACAAAGAATGAATTCAGGGTATACAATTAGAAGACTTGGTTTGCTAACTCAGGTTAGTTGTATCTCACTAAAAATCATTAAAAGTGAACAATCCCAAGTCCCTAAGCAATCTGTATTTAACTCCACTGGCTGTCTCATAGGGAAATTAGGACTTTCCATGGAAATTTTATTTTCTGTCAGATTTTAGCCAATGTTACTTAGCTTAAAAACATATCTGCCTTCACAGCTGAAAGTAAAATAGTGGCATGGTTATCCCACAGCGCATTTCCAATTTGTTTTTCTAGTGCTGTTTTCTGCACTCTAAGAGCAAATGATTTTGCTTTCTGAACACGCATTAGGTTAATTTGTGTAGTAAGGATGTGATAGCAGGAAGCCAATTAGACTTTTCTTTTTTCCAGAGTGATAAGACACAAAATGTGAAGTTATTAATACCTCATAAATGCTTATCTTAATTTTTTTTGTTCATTCAGCAGGTTGTTCTTCAGTCTTGCAAAGCAAAGAAATGGGGTAGCAGTGCTGGAGATGAAGGGGACGTTTTTACTAATGCTGTTCAATACAGACACATCCTGTGATCCCCCGACTGCCGTAGCTTCTGGGCTAGCTAAACGCAGGAGGTGTTTCTGCATGCTGTTCAGTCTTCCCTGGGACTTAGGTTAGTTTTCAGGAACTGAGCAGTGAGGATAGGTCTTTTTCAGACGCAGTCTTTTAGGTATTACGGGATTTGGAGGCCATTAAATACAATAAGGAGGGGGAGTCTTCAGGAAATGCTCAGCACCTGACAATATTGGGCTTAAAGTGCAACAAAATACTGCGTTCTTTCAAAATTAGCTGCTGAATCTTGGGAGAGATGCAGTGTGTATCAGAGCAGATGGAGTACCATTTGTTACTCGTAACGAAAATTTAATGTGGCAATTCTAACTGCAATTTACTGCAGGACTGCCTGCTGTCATTAAACACAGGAGAGCATCGCTCAGATGCTGAACTCAAACCCTTCTGTAAGGGCTGGCACGCCTGCATGGGTTTCAGTGAGTGCACACCTTGCAGATAAAGTTGGGTTTTTTCTCCTCCCTGTAAAATAGTTGGTCTGTTCTCCTTCATACCTTTTTATGGACAGTGTTGCCTGGATGAGTCATCTGCAGTCTCGATTTAAAAGCTGATAGACAGGGAAGGCTTGTTTTTTATTTTGTTTTTTATTTGTACTTATCTTGTTTCTTTTTCCTGCAGCAGTTTAAATGAGAGCTGGTTAGATTTCTGATGCGCAGTCTTGCAAGGCTGAAATAGTGCAATGCGGTCTTTTGCTGGTGATCATCAGAGCATGTTACAGTAAGGTTTGCAAAATGAACCTCACAGGTGGATCTGTTGTAGTTGTAGGTCTGGCTGCATCTCTGTTCCCTCTCAGGCTGTAGTAGTGTTACATTTTCTTTTCAGTTCATAGGCCTTTTAATCTTTCTGTCCAAAGCTAGATGGTGGGCTCTGTTGGAAGGTGAGCCTATCTTACCAGGCTTTATTGTCTTGTAGTGATCTCTAGTGCTTTGGGAGGGGTTTATCTTCCCTAGCATAATTGTTCAGTTTCCTATTTGTTTTCTAGTAGACCCTATGATTTTAGTCCAGCAAGTGTCCTAACAACTGGTTCATCTTCAGTACCTGTGATTGCAGAGTAACTTCACACCGGTCACAGGTGATGCTGTCTTTTCCTGAGGACGTCACTTTGTTCTCTAGCTCCCGTGATGTCTGAGTTGCAGTTGATTCCTTAAAAGATCCGGTAGTCGATGGCTGCCGCTTCTCCAGGCTGTACATCCTACCACGTCAAGATGGACGGTCACTGGGTACATGGGCATGTTACCCTGAAGGTCTTTGTAACTGATGCAAAGACTTGAACAAGTCATTCTTCTAGGAGCTTTGCCCCTGGCACTTGGAGAATTTTCTAGGCTGGAACATGGATGCCCACAACATAACTCGATTAAGGTGTGTTAAGCATTTCAAATCAGAGAGTCTATCCGAGTGGTGGTGGAAGCTCGTTACAGGCCTAGCTATTTGTAATTGTCTTTGAGGTGACAAACCCAGTGTGACTGAGAACGGTGTGAATATGCAGAGAGCCTGGAGCAGCTGCAAGCTGTGGACCACTCATCAGTAGAGAGTGAACTGAAATGTCCGGTGATGTTTAAGTACACTGTTATTAAGCCATTTGTTCCTAATGTGAAGGAAGAGAGGGAGGACAGAGTGGGCTGATGTTAGAAGTCTCCTATCTTCCCTGTTTTTACCAAAAAAGAAAATGTCTTTCCCATAATCTAGGTGAGTGGAAGGCATCATCATTGTACCACCTCCCAGCAGAGTCTGTTTCCAGCCAGCCATCATGCTGCTGTGTTTGATACATGTTCCCGTCTATTAACACAGTAAAACAACCAACTCTCTTCTCCACCCAGCCAACTCAAAAGTTCAATTCCCTCAGTGAGACTTGTTTCAGAGTTCAGGAATATTAAAACAAAACAAAACACACACACAAACAAAAACCAGCTCAGGTCAGCTGTGACCTAGCTGGACTCCAATGCTTGTGGGTTATATGTGTTCTGAAGAAAGTGTAGCTCTGGCTTTGATTCTTGCATATCTCTCTCTCCTCATCCAGCCTCCTCATTTCTCTAAGTTTTTTTTATTAGTCACCACGTAATGAGAGATCTGCAGGCAGCAGTATTCTAGGAGCAGTTTGTGGTTTTGTCTTGAATATGCCATTTTAAACAGTGAAACACATAAGAAAAGCAGCTTTAACTCTCCTGATACATAGCCTTACCTGTCCCGTAGGCTTCCATGTCTACTGTAGTCTCATTGCATCTGAGTTCCTTCCCAGTTGTGTTAACCAATGCGATAGTAATGTTTGCATGTGTCTCATGCTTTTTTCATAGTCTTCCCTTTGCCAGAGGAGAATGGAATACATAAGGCAGTTGAGGGGGAGGGGGTTGGTCGACTTTTTTGTTATTTTCATACCTATTTCCAATGAGAGGTGGCATAATGAAAGTATCTCACTTCCATTTGGGACATGAAGATTCAGTATTTTACTAATCAGAAATAAAAGGATGATTTGTTCTACCCTGCTTCTGCAAATCAAGATCCTGTGTCAATGAAAGCTGTGTGGTCACTAGATAGATTAAATGATACACAGCAATTGACTGCATGACAGTAGTTGGTTAAATACAGCAATTTCTCACATTCTGCATTCAGAGATCAGTTCAGGTTTGAACCTGAACTCTGTATAACTTACATGAGATGCCTTTTTGCTGGTATCATTCTTCACGTCATAAAGTGTGAATCATAAAATTCTACATGATTTTAAAAATGAGTAGCAAATAACAGGAAAGTATGGCCTCCAATTAGTCCTTTTCATTGCAAACACCAGACCATATGGAGAAATACAAGTGGGAGAAATGGATGCAGCAACTCACAAAGATAAATAGGAGCCTCTGCTCAAAACAGAGATCATCGGTAAAAGCAGATTTCTAGCTCATTATATCTTGAGTTGGGGGACCTGGTTCTACCACGAGGAGTTGAGAAGAGGTTTTGCCTTTTGCATCATTTTCAGTAGAATCAGGAATTCTTTCACAGTGACGTGTAAAACGGGGTGAAAATAGTGGGATATATTTCAGTCCTTTGGTTCATTTATGTACTGATGTTATCTGTAACTTAAAAGGTGCTTATTGTTGCAGATTAGACACATGCTTGCATCATCTGATTTTGAGATCTAGTCTCTTTCTGCCTGTCTCTTCCCCCCCACACACCCCCCATTCTCTTGGCTCCACACCTGACCAGTGGGTGTTAGCAGATGGTATTCACCGAAGAGAAGACTGAAGGACAGCAGTACCCGTAACTTTATCTCCTTTCCTTTCTTGCAGGTGTTGTGGAAGCGTGTCTCCTGCACATGCTGAAGCGCAGGGCTGCCGGCTTCCTGCGGACTGACAAGGTGGCTGCGCTGTTCACCAAAGTTGGCAAGACGTATGCAATAGCTGGAGACATATGCAAGAAAGTGCAGGAACTGCAGCAGCAGGTAGAAGGCAGGTGAGGCTGAGGTCTGTTTATCAGCAAAATTCATACAATGTGTGTGCAGCATGGAGAGGATACAGAGACTGCCTGGTAAACAGAAAGGGGTCTGTCTTGGCCACATATGTTAAAGCTCTGTCTCTTTAGCGTCTGTAACTTTAAGGCAAATGTTTTTGTTTGATCAAACTGGCAGCTAGCAGAGAGACAGAGGTTGGGAATTGGGTCTTTGGTGTTTTGTTTCGCTTCTCAGTATAGCGGATCAGTGTGTCCAGCCCACACAAAGCAACAAAAGTGAATAATAACTGATGATTTTAGAGAGTGCTCACAGTCAGGGTATGGTGGACCAGTTTGGACTGTTGGTGGGAAGGGATGTGGGTGGCAAGAGGAACTGCAGAACAGACTTACTGGAAAAGCTGTTTTGACATGCTCCTTGCCAAACCAATAACAGAAGGTTTGTGGGTATTACGGTAGAAATAGTTAAGTTAATGGACACAAAGAATGATAGGAAGAAGGATGAACTCAAGAAGAGGCAGTCAGCAGTGAGAGACTGATTATGGGAAAAGCAGTTCAGAACACGCTGGACTTGAGCACGACTGAATTTGGTCTGGAGTCAAGGACTTGAGGTTGCTGAAAGTCCTAAACTTCTTGCTAGTGGCGAGTAGTGCAATTAAAATTTTTCATGTGGTTCTGCTGACTGAAGCACAGTGCATGAGTCTGTGGGATGAGTGTCTTGTCTTGTAAACTCAGGACAGGAGATTTTTTTTCTTCTGGTTGTAGACGGTAGTGCAGTAGCACTGCTAAGCCTTAAGAGGTCTTTGTACATTGTAGGAACTTCTAGCCTCTTGATCAACTTGCTGTTAAGGGCTTTGTCAAGAGAGCTTGACTTCTATTTGTGTTGCATTGAAGTCTTCAGTTATTGACAGTTGTTTAAATTAGCACTTATACTTACATGTCTGTGTAGTTTTCTGGCATTTATCTTTATTAGACTTCTGAATATTGTGTCGTTTTTAACAGGCACATCCTATTTTTGTTTTTGGTTTTTTTTTTAATTGTGTGCCTACTGATATTGACTGGGATTTTATTAATTTAAGTTTTTTAAATGTTGGGAAGAAGGATGCTTTCTACTGAAAATTTCCCAGTGTTCCTCCTCAGTTAAGAGCCCACATGAACCCTACTGTAACCACCAAAGACCTTTGGCTGTGTCATCTAACAGAAAGGAGCAAATGAACTTAAATTCTGTGGTTTCTTTTGGAGACATTTTGTGTGGGTTTCAGCTATTAACAACCACAAACTTTAAGTGCTGTAGAAAATACGCACAGCAAAGAGACTCTATTAGGAAATACTGCAGGGGGTGGACTTGCTTTGTTGAACGTATAAAATGAGACATAAGTGCTGTAGCAGTATAATTGCTCCTGAGGCTGTGGCTTAAGAAAGCCCCTGTTTAGGATGCAATTAAACACATTTGAATTCCTCTGATGTTAGTGGTGTCATGTGTATTTCTTGACTTGGGATTGTCACTGCATGTGTGTTGCCTTGTAGAGGTTCTGTCATGGCCTAATGGAGGACTAAGGACTTTGTAAATGTGGAGAAGAATTACAGATCTCACTCAAGACAGCACCTGACTATTGTATTTAGTCTTTGTAATTGAACACTTTCCTGAAAGGGGACCTGAGTACTGTCAAAGTACAGCATCATTTGAGAACATGGATTTTCTACTGCAGCTTGTTGAAGACATCGGTGTTTCTCTTTTCAGTTAGGACAAAATTGAACCTTCTTTTGTGCTATTTTGAGGGGCAAATTTTCTGGGAAAGAAATTAAGAGGGTTAGTCTTCCACTGCCAGCCCAGTGTATGGAGAACTAAGGCAAACCTGCAGTACTGTGCGGAAGTAGGAAGCTCTCCCAGTGCTCAGCTCTATAGTGTACCTTTCTCCTGCACCTGCATTATATTGCCTGATGCAGGAGTATGGACCCATCACAAGATGTCACCACATGCTGTGGCAGGGCTGGCACAGCTTCACCACCTGCTACGCTATGGACACGTGGCTTAGTTGCATTATGTACTTTAGGAGGAGAGGATTTGGGGCAGTGCCACACCAGTGCTGTCACGGGAGACACTGTGTGGCTGGTACCACCTTATAAAGTTGTGCATTGTGACTTGTTGCTGCGTGTCAAGTATTCAGTATGGAGTGGTGTCATCTTCTTGTCTTACATAACTAATGCCGCCGGCAAAGCTAGCGGGGAGGGAGGAAGGGAACACAAATTCACATTTCAGCTACTTTGCTAGGCAGCAGGAAAGAGAAACGGAGAGAACAAATGCATTTTCCTTTTTGGGGGCCACCTTTTAGAAACTGGAAAGCGCTAGGCAGCACATTCAGCTTCAAAATCAGTCTCTGGTTCCAAATCTGTTCAGGCCATTAATTATCTCAACAGTGACAAGTGATAATTTGTGTCAGTGCCACCAAAGAAGTGAAGGGAGCATTGTTGTCAGTATGAAAATGTATTTTAAAGACCAGAACTCAATGGATGAGAGGTGGATGCTCACCCAGCAGGGTGGCAGGACACCCAGCATGGGTAAGAGCATGTGTGTTGTGATGAAAGGCACAAAACTGCTCCTTGGCATGATGCAAATTTCGGCTCCAGCCACATGAAGCTGTGCAGTGGCATGGCAGGCAGCACAGCATACTGGGGTTCACAGAGTAAAGTACCATCCTGTTCATGCGGCAAAACACTGTCCCACAGCGTGCCTGGGGCACAACATGCTACTGTCCCTCATTGGACTGGGGTCAAGTAGATTTTTCTGGGCAGCAGGTAGCTCCACAGAAAGGAATGACATCTTCCCACTTGGTTCAGAGACCACCGTGCTGAGCAGCCCCCACGTTCTTGTTGACAGCCGCGCTTGGGAAGTGATTCTGCTTTGTATAGCCAGCTTGCCATCCTGCCACTAAAAGGCAGCATTTTAAGCTCCCCGTTTCTGAGGTGGACCTGTTGCTGTGCTGGCTTATGCTGTAGGGGGTCTTGGCTGTAAGCAAGCTCCCGGCTGGCTTTGGATGCTCATTTGCTCTAGTTCTAGTTTCTCATTTTGATGTTGCTTATTTCTTAGTTGTCTTGTTGTCATTCTGTAGGTGGTAGGAGATAGGATCTCACTGCCAAGACACTAGCACAGTCTGTGCTATAGCTATATGTGGTGCTTTACAGAGAGAATGAAAAGATGGGCCTGTGCCCAAGGATTGCCTGATGGTGGTATGGCAGGAGGTCCCTGGAAAAGCTCTGCCTGTGTTATCTCAAATCCTGCTCCATGCTTCTGGTCTCGGTGGGAATATCTCATGCTGAAACAGCTGTGTGTTGTCTTGGGGTTGTGGCTAGCTTTCCCAGAGAAAGCTGGGAGACAAGAATCTTCTTTTTACTGTTCTTCCTGTGGCTTTCCCAAGTGTGAAGCTCTGTTTGATAAGAAGCAAACTTCTGTTCATCAGGTGTGACTTATTTTCTGCTACACTTTGCATTTTGGTTTTCTTTTTCTTTTGGGGTGTATGGTCTGCAATGGATTTACAGCCTATTCCTTTCAGCCTAGTATGTGGGAGTCTTGGAGGAGCTCAAATGTTGGGCTTTTCCTAAAGCTCCAGCAGCGGAGAAGATATTTTTGGTAGGTGTCCTGGTTTCGGCTGGGATAGAGTTAATTTTCTTCCTAGAAGCTGGTACAGCGCTGTGTTTTGGATGTAGTATGAGAATAATGTTGATAACACCCCAGTGTTTTAGTTGTTGCTGAGCAGTGCTTGCACTAGTCAAGGACTTTTCAGCTTCTCGTGCCCTGCCAGCGAGAAGCTGGGAGGGGGCACAGCCAGGACAGCTGACCCAAACTGGCCAAAGGGATATTCCACACCATACGACGTCATGCCCAGTACATAAACTGGACGCTGCTGCTCGGGGGCTGGCTGGGCATCGGTCGGTAGGTGGTGAGCAATTGCGTTGTGCATCACTTGCTTTGTATATTCTTATTATTCTCTTATTATTAGTATTTTATTCTATTTCAATTATTAAACTGTTTTTATCTCAACCCACGAGTTTTCTCACTTTTACTCTTCCAATTCTCTCCCCCATCCCACTGGGGCAGGGAGGAGTGAGCAAGTGGCTGTGTGGTGCTCAGTTGCTGACTGAGATTAAACCACGACAGTAGGTTACTACCTAGCCCAAGATACCTAATACAGACCTGTTGGGGGGCTTTTTTAGAGCTTGTTTAGCATCTGTCTGTGAATTAGATAATCCTTACAGACTTCTACTCATAACTCAGAACCGAGACATCCTACATCGTTAGTTAGAGCCATAATTTTCAGAAAATCCCTGATGATGGACTGACTAAAACTCCGCACCCCAATGGTAATGAGTGCTAGCATAGTAATGTAGACAGCTAGTATACAGATACTTATTTGTCAGATACATGCTGTGTATTCCAACACCTCTCTACGCAGTCTTTCACTGGAGAGCTTTCTGTGAGAAGAGTCTGAATTCTGACTACTTTTGCCTTATCTCCTTTTGCAGGAAAAATCAGCCAAATGGGCAGGAGCCCCTCAAGAGGCAGGGATCAGCCACAAGCAAAATGCCTGTCCTGACACCTCAGGCCATCAAACACATATGGGTTCGGACAGCATTGATTGAGAAAGTGCTCGACAAGATTGTGCAGTATATTGTTGATAACTGCAGGTAAGGAAAGAATCAGAAGCGCAGGGATTTGTTGGACTGATGTGTTTAGGTATCTGCAACAAGGGATTTAATCAAAAATCGTCTTCAAACTTCTGGTAGGAAGAAAACCAGATACACGGACATTTAGAAGAAATTCTACTTTTGTTTCAAATCATTGACATGTTTCAGACTTACAAAAAATGTTAACAGCCATACAGCTTTCCAGAAATTAGCTAAAAAAAACTAACTTGCAGTTTATTAAGGACTTCTTTTAATTTTTTCTAAAGTTGGCAATATTGAACAGTGCTACCATAAAGAGTAATGCATTCAGAAGCATGTGAAGCCCAGATCCTTTCCACTCACTTAGGCACCTTCGGTTTCAGTAGATATTAGATGCCCAAATTCTAATGGGACCTAGACCTCAGCGACTCAGTGGAGTGTCTTCTAATAGGTCAGGAGTGCTTAATTCACTTACATTAATTAAAAATAATCCTTTGGAATGTTAAGATGTCAGGGAAGAAAATGCCCTTTGTAGATAAAAGAAGAGGAAATGAGTTTACAAGAGGAGGAGTTAATGACATAAACCCTTAGGGCTCTGAAATAAGGTTTTTTTAAGCATGTTTCCTTTTTAGAAGATTCAAGTTTTGTGTAAAGTGAATCTTCCCTTGCAAAACCAGCAAAGAGCATCAATGCTTTATGGATGTAATCCACAGGGACTCTTTAAGAGGAGAAGACAAGTCCTCTCTGTTCTATGACATACTCTATCATCGCTTCCTACTGTCAAGCATTAGCTTTGGTTTCCCAAGAGGTAGTTCTTAACTCTACCCTTTGTGCCTTCCTACCCTCCCGTAACTGATAAAGAAGAATTAAGGGGTACACTGGGGACAATTTCCCATAAGAAGAGGAAGGTAGGAACCCTAAAGCTTGATACGGTCCCAGAAAAGTACGTCTGTCCCCACTGCCATTGCAATTTGTTCGCAGTGGTGCTCTTGCTATTCTGCACTGGGGGCACACGTTCTTGGCTGTCCAAAGCCCATGGGTCTGAGCAAGGAAGAGAGCTAGGGCAGAGGAACTTATTCTCACAGTGTATTTACAAGTTTGCATTACCATTTTCCTTGTCATCAGCTTTATTGTCATGACCTATCTTGCCACTAAGAAGAAAGAGGATGGAAGAAAGGTCTTTGTGCTGTTCAAAGAAAACTGTTGCTCTGGGATATCTAATGCCAGTTTGTTTTAAGAGCTGTGTGCAGAAGAGACAGTGGGAGGGTGGGCTGTGTCCCAGAGACATAGTTAATGAAAGCATTTTAGTCCAATGTATCAATATGTCTGCTGATACACGGATACAAGGATTTTTTAAATTATTTTTTCCACATAATTCACCTGGAGACATGACAAGAGAGTTCAGTCTCAATTGTTGTATTATAGATGTTCATCTTACTGCCTTCTCCATCTGTTCCAAATGAGTTCGGATCAGGTCCTTAATTGCAGGTGTGTGATTTTGAGAACCTGACTTAGTGAATAAAACGAACCTCTTCATGAGGCTTGTTCTCTTGCTTTTTTGTGACATTACTGCTCAAATGCTCCATGTTTAAGTCCAGCTCTTCTGTTCTTGAGGAAGAGAAGATGGTTTAGAGTTTGAGCCCCATCTAGTGGAAGAGACAGCAGAGGATAATGACAGTTCAAGAAATTTGGGTGTGTTGATTTTTTGGCTATGTGGTTTTATAAGTCAGCTTTGCCTGCTGTGATGGGAAGACTTTGAGGTCATTGCAAGAGCTACTATTTGTAGTAGTTCGTTGTTCTTGACATTGTTTCAAGATTATTCCTCACAGATGGAAGAGATGTTTAAGAATGTGTGGATCTCTTGGTCTCTGTGGAAAACTGACAGAATTGCAGAGAGCTATTGTTTGTCTCTATATTGCATTAGTGCCCAAAGCCCCAAATCAAATATACTGGGTGAACACATTTAGTAAAAGGCAAGCTCCTGCCTCTCGAGAGCTCAGTTCAAAAATAGATGAGGCAGAATGAGCATACTGAGAGGAAGTGACTTGCCTGAGATTACACAGCTGATCAGGGGCAGAATATGGATCCAAAGTAGGGGTGGTGATCATCTTGTTAAATATAGAAGTCTGGAGTGCAGGTTTATTGAACTGGTTGTTCTAGGCTCCCTTTATGCTCCGTGGAGATCTAGTTAATCATATAGTTCAGGAAATTATCTAATGCTAAAGCAGATGTCTGAAATAGGATAAATTAATTTCTCCATAGCTTTCTTATGATATATTTTAATGATCTTTAAAAATAGTTCAGGACACACCATGTTGTAAAAGCCTTTTTTACCTGCAAACCCAACATGACATTTCTTCTTTATGAGATCAGTAGGTGAGCCAGTTAAGCTCCATTAGAGCTTTTAGAGGAGACGCATGCGTCAGTGATTTCTAGGTAATCCTAGCACTTTGCCTCTACCTGTCAAGTTCAGAAAATATATGGGGTTTGGATCCCTTTGGTCCTGTCTCTGGCTGTTTAGATACACAGATTTCTTATTGGTCCATTGTGTGAGAGAGTGTATTTGATAATCACAGCAAAATTCTGTTGCTGGAATTTTTGTGTTGGAACTGTAACTAAAACCAAGCTTTGAAAATGTGTTCTGCTTCACTACGTGCACAGCACTCCAGATGTACAGCCTAGATCCTGTTTTCAGTCTTAGTAAAACTCTTAGAACCCTAAACTTTTAAATCTTCCCTTTTATATAGGTAATTTAATTGTCTGGATTTGCTCTTGAAATGAGTGTTTGGCCTCAGTTTTTATTAAGTGCGAAGTCTGACCTGGAAAGTGACTTCGGTAGTCATGCTTCCCCCTGCACGCACAGTCGACTTCCACTAGACTACTGGGGAGCCCACAGCAAACGCCGAAGGAATTGTCAGGTTAATAGCAGCCTGTCTAGCTTCCCTGCCCTTATCACTTTTGCTTCCTTTGGCATACTTTCTGGTAAGCAGTAACGTGTGATATTTTTAAAGTCAATGGACTCATGCTACTAGGAGGCATAAGAGCTTTCAAAAATAACAGCCAGTGTTTTTAACTGGACTCTGATCTTTTATTCCTAGTAAATATTACGAAAAAGAAGCTTTACTGGCAGATCCTGTTTGTGGCCCCATACTGGCTTCTCTCCTAGGTAAGTTCTTGCACAGTTACTTCTTATGCTAAAGAAAATAAATTGTTTCTTAAAACATTTTGTATTATGATAGTGTTACAAAAGGTGATTTTTCTCTCTAGCATGTAGTTTAACTATTTATGATAGAGCAACATAGAAGATGTTGTTCTGTTGCTTACGAGACCAGTAGAGACCAGTCATCTGTTTTTATTATTAATTATTGGTTGGATCAGAGAACAGAATGGGAATGGCTTTTTACTGAATGCTTGCTAGCAGGTTGTAACTACTAATGCTGCTATAGCAGGGTATTGTGTCCTACAGGAATATTTTTATACAGCCCTAGATAATAGGACCTGATATGTTATTATATGTATTGTCTATATTATGGTCTGATCCTGTAGGATCATTAAGCGATCATTAATATTCACTTGGCTTGAGAAGGAAATCTCACTTTCAGTACTTGGCCAGCAGGATAAGACTACATATATTTCTGAACAGACTTGGAAGGTTTCTCTCTTGGGCTCTTTTCTTAGTTGGACCATGCGCTCTGGAGTACACCAAGCTAAAAACAGCTGATCACTATTGGACAGACCCTTCAGCAGATGAGCTTGTTCAACGACACCGGATTCATGGAGTACATGGCCGCCAAGACTCTCCTTCGAAGCGCCCAGCCCTGGGAGTAGGTATTTACTGTGTAGCTATTTCTGAGTTAAGGCACAGGTTGACATAAAAACAACCCCAGGAGGGAGATCTAAATTTAGAACAACGTTTCTTTTTTATTCTGTAATGGGGCCTTTATCACAGATTAGGAGGCCATTTGGGCCCAAATGTCCTCTTTATCTGTATGTAGAAAAGTTTGAGATCCAGAACTAAATTCTGTGGCTTTTGACACTTGCAGTCAGACCAGGTAGTTCACAAGGAATTATGAGCTGCCTTGGTCAGGGACGAGTAAGAGCCCAGGTCATTTCTCTACAAGGTCTCCTGGCTCTAGAAAGAAATTCCACTCTACAGAGATGGGTCTAAATGGAACTGTTCCTGTTTTATTGGCCTGCCGGTACAGTCGTTCCTGTCCTACCTGATCTGCCTTGACTGTGTTTGTGTGTGTGCTAGATCCGGAAACGACATTCAAGTGGGAGCATGTCAGAAGATCGCTTTGCTGCTTCGGCAAGAGAGTATGTGGAGTCTTTGCACCAGAATTCCCGAACACACCTCTTGTATGGGAAAAACAATGTCTTAGTCCAGCCGGTGAGTACATTGAGTTTTGGGCCAATACACACAGCTGCTGCCTGGCTGCGACTTGAGAAGTCAGTACTATAGGTAAGAATATAACCTAGGCTTGTCAAGTACTCGCTTAATGTCTTGTCCTCAGGACAGTGCTGTGTTCCCACTTGACTCTATTATACTGAGGTAGATTAAGACATGACAAATGCTTTCACTGCCTGACCAATGTGAACTGTGAAGTGGGCATATGGGCAGGAACAGACATACTAGACCGTATTTCATAAACTCAGTGACTGTAGTGTGTTTTTTCCCATCTTTCTAATAGCAATATTAAATACTAGTACTTTCAGTGTTAAGGTTTCCCTCAGCAGTTCCTAGATAATGCACTGCTCTGGAACTTGTGAGGCATAGGAAGAATGGAACGTGACAATTATAGTTGTGCACTTTAGTCATCTGGATTGTCTGTTTCTTGCTTCTGTGAACAGAAAGACGACTTGGAGGCAATTCCTGGGTATCTCTCCCTTCATCAATCAGCAGATAGTTTGACTTTAAAATGGACTCCAAATCAGCTGATGAATGGAACCCTTGGAGATTCAGAGCTGGAGAAAAGGTAGTCATTGCATTCAGGAAAAGATCAGAAGCATTCATGGTGTTTATTTCTTCTATACTTGGCAATATGACATAAGTGTAACAAGGCTGATTTAATTGAAGGGCTTCTGAATAGTGCATAAGTTGAGGTGTCAGGCAGCTTGGGTTCTGCTCCTGTTTTGCCACCGATTAAGTAACTTCCCAAAGGTCCTGTAATGCACTTGGATATAAGGGCTTTTCGAAAGGAAAACAAAAGCCCACTTTTCCATGTGTTCAGGAGAAAAGGCTCAACACCACCTTCCATCGTTACAATTCTAGTACCTCCCTTCAGAAGGTCACAGATCACTTGGCAAGCATGGCTAATTTCAAGGTCAAAAAAGAGACCTGCAATGTCATTGTCTTTCATTAGATCAATTATTCATCTAATTTGGCATTGTGCTTCAGTGGAAAGACAGGTGAAGTCTTGGACCAGGCAGTTGTGTCTCCTCAGGGAATGCTTCCTTCAACCCCAGAACAGTGCTCTCAAATGCTTAATCCGCTCCATTCTTTTTCTAAAACTTCATGTGTATTTTTTAATAGAACATTAATGAAGCCCTCTACCCTTGCTTTTATTGCTAAACTCTGTCGAGGTTGTTCTCAGAAGGGTTCGGAGCTGTTTCCAGTGTTTAATCTGTAAGCTTGAGCCCCGATGGATTTACATGCTGCTGCCCATAAATCACATGTGCAAGACAGAACTGAACCCAGCTGTCCTGAAACCCAGCTACAAGACCATCATGAAGTCTGTGCCCCAGGCATTTTAATCTTAGCCAGAGCATTGTTGTAACCTGGTATGGGGCAGTGGGGTGGAGGGGAGGTTGAACAGGGAAAGGGAGGTTATGGAAAGGCTGGTGCCACATGTATCCACTGTGGAGAACTAGTTCCTTTGCCTTTTACTTGGCTATTAATTTACCTTAATTGACCAAATTTAATAAGCAGTTATTAACTTCGCAGAGTCTTTTTATTGGGTGCTTGGAACCGCAAGCACTCCTGAATATGGAAAAAAATGTTTCCTGCACTTTTTCCTTCCCTATTAGTGTTTACTGGGACTACGCATTAATAGTGCCACTCAGCCAGATCGTCTGCATTCACTGCCATCAGCAACGTAAGCATAAACCTTCTTCTCACGGGGGCACTCCCAAAGCCCCTTTCTGCCAGGTGAATGTTATTGCTCCTAATGCTGCTACCATTTTATACGGTGCCTGTTAGGGGTTTATTGCAAAAGGAGGCAGACCATTTTTCTTCTTCAGATGTCTTCACTGAAAGGCCTGGTAAGAACTCCTCTGCCTAACACTGCTCCAGTTGTCAATTGCTTTCTATGTTCTTTGTTTTTTCTGTGTGCTTTGCTTTTTCCGAGTCATCTGTGCAGAACAGCACTTATGGGAAACTGTCAGTGGCAGGTATTAAACATAGAAGCTTTGGCTCTATTAAGCATGATCCTCCATCCATTGACCATTACAAGAAAGGAGAGGGGGAAAAACAGGTCTGTCAGCCACATCTATAGTGGGATCATCAACCTGTAGAAAGGGAGCGTGTGTAATCAGAGCCACCCTCTGTCACCCTCTGACCATCCAGTTCTCAGTAGCCCATTCAAGGTAGGGAGAGGAATCTGGAACAAAACGTCTCTCCCACCGTTTTTCCTAACCACAAGCCTTAAGTCAAAATCACAGAGCAAAGACAAAGAACATTCAGAAATTTTATTTGGAGTCAGATTTGAGTTACAGTTGGACTAAAGGACCTTTTGAACTAAGAGCCTGTTTTAGAAGACGGTTTATGTATATTGCCTTAAAATACACAAGCAGGAGAGACACTTGTTCCTCTCTCAGTGTCATTAACACTTCTAACTAGTTATGGACATGTGGGGATGAGTGTTAAAACCTAGAATCCTAGCTGGTAGAGGATGACAACTGCAACGTTAGTTCAGGTCCATTTGCCTTACTTCAGTCAGCTTCCCCAGGACACTGTGCCTGTCCAGTATTTCACTGGCTGGTCAGATGCATCACCACTCTGCTTTGTGGCAGTTCCTTAGGAAAAAGGGAATTCAATGACAGCTGTGAAACATGACAGCCTTTGTTGTTCTTCACTGAGAAAGCTGTTTCAGTAACAGGTGCCAGGTGTATATACAACATGATTTTTGTTGTTTGCACAAGATGACAGACACTTGGCGGTCCTGCCACAGCACCTACCTACCAGACTGGAACTCGCAGCCGTGCTGCGGAACACATCCTGCTCTTAGAGATCCTCCCTTTACCCAGGTGGCTTCAGATGCCTCATTCATTCAGTTTTGGAAAAGGAAACTAAGAACCTAATTCACTTACATTCTTTTGAAAATTGTACAAGATGCAGATTATTATGCTTAAAAGAGTATCCAGAGCCCAGGGTGGTTTTCCTTATTTGTGCTAAATTTCTAGTGACAGTGAAGATAGATGAGAAAAATTTACAACAGGGAATGTGACTTGCTGGTTCTCACGAGAATAAAGCTGACAGCCTCTGGTTATATCCATTAGGTTGGTTTTCATTCTAAATTGTGTGTCCTTTGTCAAGTTATGTCATACATCAGAGACTTAGTTTAGTTATTCCTTTACTATTTATTATTATTTATTATATTACTGTTGTATCTTGAGCTTCTTTAGGACTAAAGGACTGACATCATCCCTAGATTGCACTGTGACTTACAGAGGTTTATTTATCTACTTAGAGATGATCACAAATAAAATTTACTTAGAAGGTAAGAGCAAAAAATAGAGGTTCCGATGTAACAGTGTGGACTCCCCTTGTCCTCCTTTGCAGCAGAAAGCAGATGGACGTTAGTCTTGGTGAGTCAGGATGGAACTCAGAGACCTCCGCTGCACTTCCCCCAAGGAGGTCACCTCCTCGCATTTCTTTCCTGTCTGGAAAATGGTCTTCTGCCTCGTGGTCAGCTAGAACCACCACTTTGGTCCCAACAGGGCAAGGTACTGCCTTTTCTGAGGAGCTGCTTGTAGTAGGTAGGGATGATCTTAATGTCTTTGTTCAACCAGCGTCCTGCTCCACAGAGTCTGGGCATTGATTTCCAGCTGCTTTATAATAAAGTGGGAGGCAAAATAACTCCATTTAATCCAATTTGATTCTTATACAGATAGCCTATAAAAATTGTTCATACTTTCAGGACCCCATTGAGCAATGAACTGGAATCTGCTATTGTATCAAAATATGAACCCAAACAATAGGGACCAAGACTCAAATGGACTGGGACATACTTGCTGTCAGAGGCTTGGATTATTTAAGAAGCAGCTGTGTTTTTTCAGTACATGGAAAAGTTGTGTGAACTACCCCTAAACCACCTGCTATATATGATTCTACTGTTGTTTTCTCCTGCACCTCCTCCCAACATTGAAAGTTTAGTTTTAAGATTTAAGATGCCAAAGGTCTGAAGTACTTAGTTGGTTGTGCTCTGTTAGTCATTCGTAGCTGAATGTATGGAATCATTATTTTCTCTAGGGTAAGGTATTTCCAAAGCTTCGAAAACGGAACAGCAACAAATCAGTGGACCTAGAGGAAATGCCAGCTGAAGATGCTTCTACAGACTATGTGTTCAGAATTATCTATCCAGGACACAAGCATGATAACAGTAAGTGCCTTTGTTCTGCTTTGTTAAGAAAAAGCAAACAAAAAACCGAACCAAAACAAAAACCTAGGAAAACCTTGAAGTAATATCCTGGGAAGTAACTGAAGGTAACAGACAAGCCAGGTTTTGGGGGGCGGGGGGGAACCTATCGCAAACTTTCATTGTGTGATAATTGTGATCAACAGGTACAGCTTACTGTAGGTTTCCTTAATGCAGTGAAACTTGTTATCTTAGTGGAAATGGAGTTGAGGTGGGGAATCTTATTTATATTTACTCTGTGTTTTGCAGAGGAAGTTTTCAAAATACTCCCCTGGGCTTGCAAACTAAGACTAAAAGCAAAAAGATTGCTTGACTAGCCAAGAGCAGTTTTGCTCCCAAAGTGAGGATATTTTTATTGGCCACACTGCTTGCTCATAATGTTGTTATTAGGAAAAAAAAAACCAAAACAAACCATAAACTCAACTCTTAAAGTACCCCAAGAACTCCCTGGGCTAAGTTTTCCTGGCTTGGAAGCAAGAATTAACAATGGATAAATAAAGGCCCTTCCAAGGAAACTAAATGAATTCCCAAGCACCAAACCACCTCATGTCATCAGTGAATACAAATTCCTTACATGCAAGAAGGCATTTGAGCTAGTTCTCAAACAGCGTGTTCGGTTTTATTCCCCTTGGCAAAGAAGCAAGAATTTCCCAGGAAGATCAGACCCTAAAGTTTACAGGGGATTTGGATTTACTGCTCATACTGGGACTTACTGCAGCTGAAAAAGCAGAAATCTCAACTGAACCCGCCTTACCCCAGGGGACTGAACCACAATGGTTGCCATGCTTTATTAGGGCTTCTGGATTTGCACAGGTAAGTTCATGCACACACCAGCAAAAGCATTTTCAGCCTTTGCCTGAATCAAGGGGACTGCAGATTCTGTGGGCACATTCAGCACAGACCTGCCTGTAGAGTGCAAGACAGAGCGAGCTGGCTCCTGCCTTAGGCTTCCTTAGGAGGAGGCCTGTACCTTGCATGTTTGCAGTGCCAGACAGAGCTGGGGAGCAGAATGTTTGCTGTCTGGGTGCATCTGGCACAGGTTTCAGAGTGGAAAAGAGGCCACAGCATTGATAAAGGCATGGTGAAGGAGAGAAGCTAGTTGGAGCCTAGAACTCCCATGGATTTTTGCTAAAAAGCATACTCACCTACTGCAGGCTGGCATTGGGACCTTTCTCCATTGCCATGATGTGACACATGTGCTCTGGGAACACAGCCTGTGCACAATCAGAAGCTGGCCTGTGTTTGGTGGAGCATGCTTTTTTTCTGTAGGAAACTCATTTTTCATACCCATTTACAGGAGCTTGTGCCTTCAAGAAGAGGGCAGGATTCAAGTCCTTTGTCTTTGCTGAACATGTCCTTTTGAGCTTTCCCACAGAATCGAGTTCTCTCTTCTTATGCTCCTCTTTCACTATTTTCTTTGAGCAGTAACTATTAACTACCACCACTTAGCTGCCAGCCGCTCTGCCTCTGTTGACGATGATGAGGAGGAGGAAGATAAGCTACACGCAATGCTATCAATGATCTGCTCTCGGAACCTCACAGCTCCTAATAGGATGAAAGGTTTTTATCCTCCTCCCCCTGTGTCCCAGAGCTCTATTGCAGCTCGTTCCACTGATGCATACAACAGTGTTGGCATTATTATAGGGAAAAACATTTCACTCATGCCACGAGATCTGGAGATTAAGTTGGCTGTGCAGAGAGGCTGGGAATATGCTCACAACCTATGGGAAGTGGAAACAACAGCATCTTCCCTCTCCTTTGAGCATGTGTGCTGCTGAACAGACAAACCTTCTCTCCTTCCGGAGGCTTCCTGCCCCACCTTCATAAAAGCTGGGTACTAGAGCATGCTCACACAAGAGGAGGAGGGAGTATAACAGGTCTTTGTATTCTCCCTCCATGAGCTAGTCGTGTACAACATAACAGACTGGGGAGGGCAGCCTTGCATAGGAAGGATCAGAGGTGAACCATTACAGCAATAGTAGAGATGTGCTGGGCAAAGTGAGAAATGGAGTGTGCCTCTGTAGCCAGAATAGGGCAGAAGTGTAGTGAGTTACAGTTTCAGCCCAGGGATGGTTCAAGTATGCATGCTCCCACACTTTGGATACCTCTGTAAGGTAGCAGAAGCGTGCAGAGAAGATTGTATGGAGATGCAATACCTTTCTGTGGTTGGGTGGTTTCATTCCACTTCTTGCATTCATAGGCTAGGTGGGTTTCGGATATCAGCTGCAAGACTCCCCACCCTCCAAAATTTGTCATCTAATTCTTTTCCTAAAGCAATTCATAACAGATGTATTAAGTCGGTATTCTCAGGAAGTGTATGTATTAGCAAGCATTCAGGATCTAGTAGCGTAGTTCTGGAGACTGAAATCCTTGCTTTCTCAAAGGAGGAAGCTGAATGTTGTACAAAATAATCCACTCCCCAGGCCAACCCCCTCCTGCACAGCTTGGATTCTAAGGCTTGTAGTTGTTCAGAAGACAGGCAGGTGTTGTCGAGGCCGCTCCACTAGTTCATGTGAAATCTCTCCCCCCTCTACGCTTACCAGTTACGGCACAGCTTCAATACCGCCAGACTTTTGGCCTTGATACCTCTTGAGTGCATGTGCCAAGTCTGGCGCGCTCCTGTTATAATCAGAACAGCCTCCGCCTCTTCCTAATAACTGGAGCGTATCAGCAAGAACAGAATCTTCTCTGTTATCAGGCTGTAAAGTAGCTCTCAAAAGTCTGACATCTGCAGAGGAGGTAGGAAGGAGAGCAACTGCTTGCAAGTTTGGCTCTTGTCTATATTTTTCATTCGTTACGTTAGCATGAATGTGCTTTTTTGGTATTTCTGTTTCCTAAGAAAAATACAGCGTATCTTGACTACAGATAAGACGCTCGTACCTTTAAATAGTGGAGCAATGATTTTGGTTCCAAATAGATGTTAGCCCTGGTCTGGTGGGACTGACTGTAGGAGACAACAGTTGCCCTGCATCTCTGTATAGTGCTTAAGTTCTGTTTAGGTAGGATATGAACATGTGTTCAAGGAGATCCTCCTCATTTCTTCTAGGCTGCCCACACGCTTATCCCAAGGTAGTAGTCCCTAGAAACTGACAAAGCCCAGCCCAAGTTAATAAAGAGTTCTTGGAAGGTATGGATGGAAAGAAACTCCAAAAATACTGCATTCCCCTTGAAAAAAGATACTCTTTCAGGAAGTTTCTGTGTGTCTTAACCGATCATGTCTGGATATGGGTGATAACGGAAAGGAGGAAGGTCTAACACTGCCACATACACATGTTAAGAGGCTAATGCTGTGATCTAATGCATAAGAAACACAATTTAGTCTTTAGTCAGGTGATGGAAATTTTAAGTTGTCCCAGTAGAACGGCTGTCAGATAACTGCTTTTGCTTATTTAATCTTGAAGGTAATGGCAGAGTTAGGAATATGTCTGCTGTTTGAGTAGTGATTCCCGCTGAACTAGATTGGATTGGCTGTTGTCTCTCCAGCAGCATCCCTTTTAAATAATGACAACACTGTTGTAGCAGGTTTGCTAGCCATTTGCTTTCACATTTTGCAACATGCTCGACTTTTGCATGTAGCTGAAGTTACAGATAACACCACTACAATTAAATAAAAGATGCTGTTCACTCTAATTCTTCACTAATTCAGGTACCTTTCATCTGAATCTTTAGGTTCTGTGGGGTTCTTTCCTTGTTTCTCTAAAAAATAAAATAAAAAATTAAAACTGAAAAACCCACTTTTCTTGTTTGTAGAGGGGAGGCAAAAAATAATCATCTAAAAATGCTTGTCCAATGGTTTTTATTTGAAACCAGTAAGAAGCTGCAATAAATACTGGGTCATTCAGCTCCTTCCTGAAGAATTAAGGTGAAGAGCATTTTTGCATCACACTTTGTTTTGTGAAATGAAATACACATGACTGCTTCCGCATGAGCCTGTGCTTTTTCTGTTAACAAATGTTTTTACTCCACTCCTTCCTCACCTATGCCCACTTTCTAATAGGCACTACTAAAATGCTTTATGCTACCTTGATTTAAAATGCATGAGATGGTTTGGAATTGCCCCTACCACCACCCAACAAATGTATGTTTTGAAAGCACGGCCCAGGGGACTGGATTTTGCTTACAAATGTTAATTTGGTGACATGCAGTATTACGGCATTTGCCTTAATTTTAATCATGGGTGAGCTGAAAGGCCAGTTATTTATTATAAAACAAAAAACCCAAGAGCTCAAATGCCAGCTGGGAAAGTTGAAGAGCTGAAGCCAAGCTTTCTGAAGGCAACGGGTGATTTTTTGGGTTGCCTTCCTGAAGCTGCTTAAAAAGGCAAATAGATTTGGTGGAGCAGGGATAACTCAAGAAGCTGCACTGTACTGTTGGATCACATTTTCCTGCAGAGTATCCTACTTTTATAAACACAGTGTTGACATTAGTAGGACTTGAACTATCCTTCCGCGCTTAATATTTTAGGATCTGGTTCTGAGGGGGAAAGAAGCATCTTCTGAAAATAACTGAATCAGTTTGTCTTAATTTCTTTTATGCTCAAACTTTCACCCTAGTTGGACTAGCAGTTATGTGGCTGATTCCAGGAACTGCAAAATAAAATTCTGAGACCTGAATTAAATAGAAGGTCAGGTTAGATGATCTCTTCTGGCCATGAATAACATTACCATAGCATTACACAAGAACCAGCTTCAGTTTTTACTGCAGCACCCTTTTCTCTGTTCTCTTGAAACACGAACTGGGATGTGCATGGGCAAGAAAGGGTGAAATGGTGAAGGGACCTGACTTTATGGGAAGTGACCGTGCACAGCATGCAGCTGGTTTAGATGTGCCGAGAGCAGTATTTCTGAGGTCACTAGGATGGTGCTCTCCCCTTTTTGGAATCAAGGTTCAGAACCTGCTGAGAAGTAAAGCATGAAGCCATCAGGATGCACAGAAGGAAGAGGGGGAAAGAAGAAGAAAGGTTGATGGCCTGCTGTGTTGTTTGGTTTTTCCCTAGACGCCAGCGAAATGATAGAGATGCAAGGCTTTGGGGCAAACTTGCTTTCGTGGCAGCTGGAGCACTGCAGCCAAGGCTCCTCATGTGTCTCCTGTTCAACGGGCAGCTCTCCCTATGATATACCCAGCTGCTGCAACTGCATCCATGATAGGTAAGCAAGTTGAGCAGAGAGCTTACCTGGGAGACTTTGTGCATGCCACAGTTAAAAGCAGGAAGGTTTTATCGGTTGCAGCACCAGAGACGAAGAGTAACAATTTTCAAGTAGTTTCTAACATAAAAAGATGGAGTTATACAGCAAGAAATTTAGTTTATTAAAACTAACCTATTAAACTACTCTCAAGTCACATTTTGATAGAAAAATTGCATCTATTTCTCCTGTGTGCTTTAATATAATTCAGCTCTGGAACCGTTTTCTTTACCAAGTCATTAACAATTACAATGAAGGGCAACAATTCATCTAATTTGACAAGGACCTTTACAATGCACCTGCAGCAGTTGTAGCTAAATGTGCCGGGTGAATCTGTTTTGGGCCAAAACGCTGGTGGGGAGAATGCTTTAAAAAGTGTAATTTGTCATTATTGTTGTCCTTTAGCTAAATAAATCTTGGTGCAGAGAAAGAATTGCTATGTGTAGGTCATAGGGATCAGCGTAAAATTCATGATGATCTCTGTCCTCGTGACCTATCGTGTTCCTGTTAATGTGTCTCCACAGAACTCCATTGAAGATGTTGTGTGAAAGCATGAAGAGGCAAATAGTTTCCAGAGCCTTTTATGGATGTAAGTGAAGAAAGCAGTCCAAACCCAAATTTATTGTTGAGTCAGATCACCTCAGGGCAGTAGGGTGGACGTGACTCAAGAATCACAGCTTCATAATTCCATTATTTGTGGGTTTTACATATAGCAATGGGCGAACTGATGCTTAGTGAAGACAGAATGTAGTTTTACACTGCAGCATAATAGTCTGCTTGGATTTTACTAGTCTGTGAAAGATTTATTTAATCTTTGGCTCTGTTGCAATTCTTCATTCTTATACAGTACAATGCAAGTTTAGTTCATAAAGGATTATTAGCAGCAGGTTTAAAATGTCACAGCTTCATCTTCAGAAAGGGGCTCCTGATATTAGGTAGATTGCTCATTTATAAGTTTACCTCCCGCCCCAACCACAGGGCTTGCCTACTGCCGCCATTTGTCGACAGTGCGAACACATCTGTCTGCCCTCGTGAACCACACTATTATCCCACCTGACAAACCATCCAGTGCTGCAGGAGGCCTGACTAAAGAGGTCTGGAGCAAGTATCAGAAGGACAAGAAGGTAAGTAACAGAATACCTTTATGATCATTAATTAAACTAGCTCCCACACACTGCTGCAGCGAGCATGGTATCCCTTAGAACTGGGATAACCAGGAAGCATTAAAGGTGTTTTCTAGTCTTCACAGGATCACTTCTCTTTCTAGTGAGAGTGAGTCAATTCCTAAAACCTCTTTTATCCTTTGCATCTCTGATGATGGCAAAGATATCATAACATCAAAACAACTGATCTCATGACTCCTCTAGTCTCTTAAAAGTTAGGTTATTTTCATGGGAGGCATGACAACTTACGTTAGACCGGATTTGAGCTAGGGCCCTAAAGGCATGCATGAAGTTGCAAAATGTATTTAGTGCCGCGCATGCATTTCACTGTCTTTATACTTGGTATTAAGTGAATGTGAGCATGCCTGAGGAAAATAAAGACGTATTACTTTCAATACTTCTTTCTCCTGACTGCTGTAGAATTACAAGGAACTGGAATTACTAAGAAGAGTTTACTACGGTGGGGTACAGCATGAGATTCGAAAGGAAGTATGGCCATTCTTGTTAGGTCACTATAAATTCGGCATGGCCAAAAAGGAGATGGACCAGGTAAGCACAGCTTTCCGGAGATCTGAATTATGTTTGCAGAATAGGTTTTGTTTTCTGAATAGCAAGTGTTAGTCTTTATTATTGTTTAATATTCCTAAGGGAAAAATGCTACTGAAAACATGAGTGACACATGTTAGTAGAGGGATTATGATATCGTGTTATCATGTCTGAAAAATCACTAAAAGGGAGTTCTTTATTGAAGTCAGGAAACCTGCATTCAGCCTCTGCCTGCGACATGCGCTTGCCCCGAGCAAATCCTGTTTTCACAAATTTGTCACTTATAAAATGGGGAGACACTCATATTTGGATAGTAATTTGAGTTATCCCTCTTTTATATGGTGTGTTGGCTGAGTTATGCTTCAAAATGCTCTTTGAAATAACTACTTTATCGACATGATACTGCCACTGCATGTGCGGAATGCTACTGGAGCTGTGAACAGCCCAGAAGTACCTTCTGAAGTGCACTTGGAGTTACTGTCTAGAGGCTAAAAATACCCAGAGGAGGGTTTGATTTGTACATTCATTATGCTTTTGCTAGACTTAAATAAGATGTGCCTCTGTAAAACACAAGGTACAATTTCATGAGAGACACTGTTCCTCTTAATATCTCCCATGCTGCTGCTAACGCTGATCAGTGAATAATTGCCTAGGTTATGTCACAGCCTTATTTCACAGTCTGAAACTTGGCATTAAGTATATAGTTTCCATTAATGAAACTACAATTTGCCCATCTCTTAGTTATATTCTCTCCCTTTGTTAATCTGTTTATAGCAATACCAACTTCTTACTTTGCTGAGTGCTTTCATTTGTAGTAATTACTGGGCAAGTGCCTTGATAATAAACCAGGCTGGTAACAAACTGATAGGGCTGGGCAAAACGGCACAGTCATGCCTTCACTCAGCTACGCTTACTAACAGAAACTGGATGTGGTCCTAAGCCAGACTGCTGAGAAAAAGACAGCAATACTCCAGTTCCTTACTACTATATGCTTTCCGTAAGCGTCTGCTAGGCTACACCAGCCTTCATCTGATCCAGCATAGCTGCCACACGAATGCGGTGTGGCATTTTTATTGCAGTACTGAGCCAAAGCTAATATACTACCCTCAGGTGATGCGTAATAGGCTCAGGCTCATACCGTAACACAGCTGTACAGCTGATCATGTGCAGAGCAAGAACTTAAGTATAGGCCTACTGTGATGAGCAGATCGGGTAGTGCCTCCGCTAGCGTAAAGGTCTCCTGCAGTCCTTGGGCTCACAGGTAGTGGGAGCACCCGTCTGCCATTACAGACCCCAACACTGCTGCTGGTCTTACTCCTTGGCTGTTGAGGAAAGGGATGTTCTCCTTCGCAGAGCCATAGGACTATAGTAGGACACTGCCCTCTGGGTAAGGTCTGGATTTGTATGTTGGTAAAACATTGCTTTTAACTGACATTAAGAATCACCCAAATGTTTGCTGAACTGTCTAGAACAGTAATGAGGTTTGCCCTGGAATATAATTAACACATTAATCTGCTTCTCTGTCAGTGTTATTACCAGGGAGGTAGCACTCATGCAGTAGCTGATCCTGTTCTGGATTAAATGGATAAGGAGTGGTTTATATATCAAAACATTTGGCATTTGCTAACTCCCAATTATTTTATATTCCAAGGGATAGTTTATATCCCTGTGAGCACCTGCAGATCAGAAGGGCAGCCTGACCTAGAGCCTTGCAATGGAAAAATTAGCTATCTTGCAAACAGTGGGCACTTTATATTTTTCTTACTAAAAATTGCTACAGTAATTTGACTTGTTTTTCCTCACACTAATCTTTTTAAACCAGTTCTGAACACGGATGGAGAAATATACCCCATAACTGTTCAAACTGGGTCGCAATCCAGATTCTTCACCCTGAATCCAGTCATCTTTGTAGGTATTTACATTTAGATTTTCCGGCTATAGTGTGTACATCAAGAATGTTCCGCTGTGCACTGCTGAGGCAAATTCCTGCCCTCCCGTGACATCAGCATCGGAAGAAGACAAAGTACCTCAGAAACCACCAAGGGCAGTAAGTCCTGCTGGTTGCCTCATCTCCTGAAGGCCAGGCAAACTGCCTCAGGAGAGAAGCAAATCCAGACATCCAGTCAGGCTGATACATTGCCGTAGTCCTGCTGGAAAGTACATCTGTTCTACAAGGGAACTTGCTCTACCACCCCTTTTTGCATACAGCACAAGTTGAAAGAAGAAGTCCTTCAGGAGCACCACGTGGGCTGGTTCCCTAACTCTTACTGTCTTGGTGAAAAAGGGAGGGCCCTTCCAAACAGTTCTATGAATTTGGTTCAGAGCTTCAGCTTAGCTTCTGGCTAAATTGCAGCACTTCCAGATGCAGTGTGAATTTATTACATTTTCCTTTGGTGCTCCATTAATTATACTTTTTTTTTAAACTCAAATTTTCAAGAAATACAGGATATTGGAGGTTTCTTGCATAGATTGCATTTTGCTGTCTGTTCTCCACAGGTATATGAACCATCAGATTTATGATCCATGTGTAGAAATAGAAGGTATGTCTGGAACTGAAAAAAGGACCCAGATACTTAGTTTTTAGAGTGGGAGATCTGGAGCCACAACTCATGGATTCTAGCCCCAGCTTCAAAGGGCACATGCCTGTTTACAGCTAGAACATAAGAGATTTGGCAGGAAGAGAGAAATACTTGAGTCCATTTGTGCAATAGGAATTACAGTAAATTCATAAAGATATGTTGCGAGGTATAAAAGATCTGATCTGCAGAATGCAAGCTCCTATAGGAATTTTCCTATAGGAAAATTTTTTTCCCCTGAGTTTGTAGCGTACTAACACAGGGGTGCTCCAAACCTTATCTGGAATTCTAATGAGCTACTCAACACCAGTAGTAAATAACAGTAGTAACAGACTCCTCAAAGAAATGTTGGAGTCTAAAGCTTACCATTGAATGTAAGAGTCTATTAAATGAATGACATGAAAACAGTCATAACGTTTGCACGTATAGGAAACTTATCGTGTCCTTATCTGAGGTCATCGCAGGTGATTTATCATCTTTGCCTTCTGATGATATTTTTGCAGTCCTCCATCAGTATCTGGGGCACTCCCAAACATGGCTGTCCTCCAGCTTTCTACTAACTGTTGTATTTTATGATTTATGACTCAACAGCTACCTCAAGTGACAAATAGCCTGCAGCTCTTAGCATGAATGCTCTGGTAGCAACTCTAGCCAGCAGAGTCCAGAGCCTGAAGCCAACTCACAATTGCGGTTTCTCTTCAGCTCTTGACAAGTGACAGAGTAGTAAAATTACTACGTGTCCCTTAATAGCTCAAGGGGGGTTTCTGTGTCTGTCTTTCAACAGAGGAAGCCAGAAGTGGCAAAAATCTGTTTTATTACTATGGGAACCAGAGTGGTTGGATCTGGCCGTGCGCAGTGCAGCCCCAAGACTGGGGCTGTGTGAGCTGGGATTTCTACTGTTCAGGAGTCTCTTCCAGCATCTAACTCTGTACAGGCTGATGTATAGAAACCTATGACCTGGAATTCATTGCAAGGGCTATGTTAGAGTTGGAATAGAGGAGGAGTTGGGAAGGGAGGTGTAATGAAATTAGGAATAATCCCATTAGAGGCAGCAATTGCTCCATCAGATTGCATCTGACTTCTATGTAAGGTTTCACATGACAGACAGTGACATCTTTTGTTCTTTCCTGAACAATGTCAAAGCACTGTTGATAGCGTATATGCATGCTTATATGAATCTTTCTGGTGTCTACAGTGATAGTTTATTCCCTGCAGTAAATACGCAACACCTTGCTGCTCCAGTCATTGCGCCTTCCAGTCACAGTGATGTGTGCTCTAGCAAGAGGGCTTCAGGATCCTTCAGGCTTTTCGTTTGAGACATTACACTTGCTTTAGACCTCCCCCTCCTGGCTTCCACTCATTGTTAATGCTATCTTTCAAGGAGGATCAGCATTTCGGGGTCTGTCTGTCTGTCTGCAGGTGGATGAAGACATTGCTCTCCGGTATCAGAAGGTCATGGCTGAGTGGAAAGCCTGTGAGGTCATTGTAAAGCAGCGAGAGAAAGAATCGCATTCTGCCACACTGGCAAAGTTTTCGTCAGGCAGCAGCATTGACAGCCATGTCCAGCGACTGATTCACAGGGACTCTACCATCAGCAACGATGTAGGTACTCCCTTCCCATTCACCCGTATGATGCAGGCAGCACGGGAGGCTAGGCATTTGCAGAGGTACAGCCCAGGGAAGCAGACACTTAGGTTAGCACAGCTCCATCAGTCTGGGACTACTTGAATCCTGTGCAGAATTTGAAGCTCTAGTGCCTCCATAATAGAGCTAAGAGCAGATCTGTATTTTGGTTAGTCTGTAGCTGTTCTTAAGCAGGACCTGCCTAAAGGGCTTTAAGGTTCACCTACTATAGAAGATCCTTCTCTCAGAGGAGGAATAGCTTTCTAGATCTCTTACTTGTAGGTCCTTTATTCAAATCCAGCATAGAGCAAAAGATCGCTACTATTAAAGCATATTTTTGCTTCTGTCATGTCCCTGATTGACAGGTTGGGTGTGATTTTTATAGTTTGGGAGAGGGGACATTTGTCAATCTAAGGTAAGATACTAAGCAGTAGAAGGGCAAACTGAATTAACCCCTCTGTAACTTGAATAACCAAGAAAGGGGTTTCTTTTCATATTGTTGGACAGGAATGCTGGCATATGTGTGCCAAATGTGTCTATAGGCATCCATTACTTACGCAGATTTCAAACAGTTAGCTAACTGATTTCAGTAAGGCAAGAGAGAAGAGAACTTGAAATAGTTCAACAAAGAGTTTTTTAGCAAGAGAAGAGGTAAAGTGGTTGCGTGAAAAGAATTTGAAGGCCAGTCTTGACTTCAAACAGCAGCAGCTGAACTGGATTGTCAGAGGCCTGAGGTGTGTTGGTTGTCTTCAAAGATGTATTGCAATGACCAGATGTTTTATTGCTGGTGTTGCAGGTCGGGAAGCTTCGCTGCTTTCCAAGGTATTTCTAATTGAAGATTATGAAATGGGGAGACATCATCATAGGAGATGGATATGAGATTACAAATTGGTATTATTTTTACACTTACAGTCTCAGTATAAAGACTGAGTGAGGAGCTCTCAACTATTTGCATGCAGGGAAGCTCTATTAATCAGTAATCTTGTTCACTGCAGTAATGTAGTCATTTTTCTCTCGTGGCTGGAGGTTTGTTTGCTACATTAATGTTTTTTGCTTCTCTATTCTTCTCTGCTTTATCCGAATCTTCTCTCCCCTGCCCACCCTCAGGTCTTTATATCTGTAGATGAAATGGACTCAGCGGAGCGGGACTCAAAAGGTCAGGACGACCCCACTTTCACCGTGGTGTCTGCCGACACGCCAGCAGCAGTAGCTGCCATAGAGCAACAGTCTGTGGAGTTTGACTCCCCCGACTCTGGGCTGCCATCCTCGAGGAACTACTCTGTGGCCTCGGGCATCCTGTCCAGTATTGATGACGGACAGAGTGTCTCCTTCGAAGATGGGGCTGAAGAAACGGCTAGCACTGACTTGGAAAGGACTGACCCAGACACACCACGTATGCAGAAAGCCAAGTCAGTTGTACTGCAGTCTCAGGATTCTGTATCAGAAGAGCAGCTGTGTTCCCAGGTGGATTATTTAATGGATGTTGCTTCTGTCTGCGCTGCATCCTACACAGTAGGTCACAACATCAGTATCATCGTCTCTCTGCACAGCATTGCTTTTCTAGCAGAGACTTGTACTTTTTCAGATAGGATTTAATGAGAGACAGTCCCAAACTAGAACTACAGGTGGTGGGACGATAACTGAGGGTTTTTGCGTCGAAATCTTTTCATCTGGATTTTGAGCTAGATTGGAAATAAGACAGCAAGAAAAATGTGGGTCTTTTTTTGAGAGGGAGGGCAAGGAAAAGAATGTGATATGGTTCTAGCAGCTAAAAATTTCCGGGGGCTGGGAGGAGGTGCGGGGATGTGGACAACACACCACTTGTAAGATTTCAGTGTCATTTAATTCAAACTAAACACTGCATTTAATCAAATCGAACCACAACCTAAATCTAGATTCAAGACTCCACCGACTCTATTAGTGTTGCTGTCAACAGATGAGTAGCTGAGTTTTTGCCTCTCTCTGCTGAAGTTGTTCAACTAGAAATAACTATGTTGTTCAAGTATGAAATAACCCTTTGGAAATGGAACAGGCTTGGAACATTTACCAGTGAAAGCGTATGCATTTTACCTGGGATTTTTTACAGTAATCAAGTATTTTGACGCTCTCATATGCCCAAAGTATAATTGTACTATTTCTGGTTTGTTGATTCTCAGAGCGAATCTGCACCAAGTCCTGGGAATGCTCTAAACTCAGGAGATCTAACTAAAACTCTTCTCTTCTAGATAGAGTTATTGGACACTGTTGCCTTAAATTTGCACAGAATTGATAAAGATGTCCAGAGATGTGATCGGAATTACTGGTATTTTACTGCTGATAACCTGGAGAAGCTCCGAAATGTCATGTGCAGGTAATACAGCTTGTAAACTGAACTGCTTCTCACATTTCTGTCGTAATTCATGAACTATAATAATATGAAAATAATAGTCTGTACAAGAACACTAATGAACTTAAAGCTTGCAAGGAGGAGGAACAGGTAGGATGGTAGGTTAGAGAGTATGGGTATGATAGGCGGTCCAAGTTTGGAATGCAGGCTTGAGAAGATTCTCTTTCTACCTCAAGAGACAGACCCTATCAGTCACCTTGAACTATTCTCTAAATGCACTATTAGCTTTGGTTTCCTACTTACGAGGATAATATATCCATGCTTTAATGGCATGCTATAAAGATGACAATAATTGTGAGGTGCCCAGATACTGTGTTGAGGGACATGTATTAAGCAGACAGAAAGACTACACCTTCAAATCAAAACAGCATCTTTGACCACTGAGACCAGCTGGAATCCATAGAAAGCTAGTTTTCACTTTTAGGAATGCAAATTGCCATGAAGGCTAAACACACTTAGAGCAGAAAGTGTCATAGACTTTAACACTCGGAAAAGATACCAAGATTCCACCTAGGGGAAAAAAGAAAACAAAAGCCAAAAAAACCCAGGTACTTTTTAAAAATCTGGGCTTTTTTTCCATGGACTGTTATGCTTTTGTTAGCTGTTTTTTCACAAACTACTGATAGGCAAGCCATGTGTGTTAAGGTATGGTCCAAGCAGAAAACAATAGAGAGCTGTGAAATACTCTGGACTGTGAAGTGTCAAAAAGTTCTGACACACACATTCAACAGCTGCTTAAGATTTGATCTCGCATAATCAAATTAGACTTCAATACAATTTTTGGCTTTTGAGGGACAGGAAGAATAGTAGTTTATTATTAAGTATATTATTAAGGTATTAGTTTATTCATCCTGCAAGTAGACAATTGATCACATTCTTTTACCCTTTCACACAACACATTAAGTGCCTACGGCAAGAGTCATATTACAAGAGAGACTCCTGTCTCACATGCTGCTTTGTCCTCATCGTGGATTGTTTACAGACTTTAGTTTTCCTGAAAAAAAAAAACCAGCAGAAATACTCACCATTTTATACCAGTATGTTGGAAGATTTGAATTGTTTTAGTTCTTCTCTGGACTTCTAGCTTTATCTTTTACAGCACTCTAAAACAAGACACTTAAAAGCTTCCAAAAGGAGTTGTATTTTAGGTGCAAGACAAATTTTTGATGCCACCATGCAGGAAGAGGATTTTTAATCCTATTATCTCTTCTGTTTTCTTCTTCCTGCAGTTATGTTTGGGAGCACCTAGAAGTTGGTTATGTTCAAGGCATGTGTGACCTCCTGGCTCCTTTGATGGTTGTACTTGACAATGGTAGGAAGCGTTTTCTTTTGGAACACGTGGGTATCTTTAGGGAGGCCTTTCTTTAGAAATGCTGTTTCAGAAGTTGTATGCATTAACCAGGGCTAGCTCACCAGGAAAATCAAACCTGCAGCTCTTGATTTGTATTTTCTTTACATGCGGCTGTTGTTGAAATGGCAAACATTAGCATCTCAGGGATTCCCTGTTCACTCGCTGACTTCCAGATTAAATTTTACTAAATTTTCAAAGTAGCTGTGTTCCTGCAGTTGCTGAAGCTGAAAACTCAACTGCAAGCTGGGTTCTTTTGAAACATAATTAGTAAAAATGGTCCAGAGTCAGGTACTGTCTTCTGTTTCATCTAAATACTGGTGATGGGATTAGGGAACAGCAAAGGGGAAAACCTGGTTTTTCCCTTGTCCTGCAGTACGTAATTTTGGTTCAAGGAAGTCACACAATTAGCAACACCGAGTGTTCTGCATTGTATCTGCAGATCAACTGGCTTACAGCTGCTTCAGCCACCTGATGAAGAGGATGAGCCAGAACTTCCCCAATGGAGGTGCTATGGACACACACTTTGCCAACATGCGGTCCCTAATCCAAGTGAGTCTTTTTGAATTTATTTGAACAAAGATGAGGTTGTGGCAGAGGCTCAGAACTAGCTTGATGCCACGGTGAAGGGCAGGAACTCCAATGGCTGGGGTTCCTAGTCATCTGGTACTTCAGAGCTAGGGAGGATAAGAATTGTTTTATGCAGCCCCAAACTGATTTCCTACTTCTCAGGGAACAGCATTTGCTGTCACAATGAAGAGTGTGTATTAGAGCAGGTCAATTCGTCTTAACTTCACAAACGAAACAAACCCCCCCGACTTCTGCCTCCAGTACACCAGCTACACAGTGTAATGACTCCCATTTATGGCTCGGTCCGGCTTCAACTGAAGTCAATGAGAAATAGCAGTAAGATCCAGCCTTCACTGCTTTTTGGAAGAGAAAACACTGATATTTGTGGCACAAACTTAATTTCTTACCAGTTTAAATAGACCATCGCACAGGATGGTTGCTGAATGGTGGGTTTTTGGATGGATTTAAGGCCTAGACATTCCACTCCAGAAAGCACCAGGCACCTGAGCAGGATTAGCAGAAAGAAGAGTGAGAACATCAGGATAAGCCATTATTTGGTTTGATAGGTGGCATACTAAAAAGTAATGAAAATAGAGGTCAGTCAACAAAGATGATGGCCAGCACGGAGATGGCAGGCAGCACATGAACATACAGCTGCAGTGTTTGTGTTGAGTAGCAAGACAGAGGATGCCACCCTGCTTATCCAGCAGCCCTTAGGATGACATCTATGAGGAATGACTGTAGATGTACTTACACGTTTAAGACATCTATCAGACGTACGGCAAGTAGTAGTTCAGTTCCAGAGAGCTTAGATGTTGCAGTGTGGAACTGTGCCACTGCTCACCAGAATTACAAACTTGCGATGAAAAAGTCTCTCTCCCTTCTTTTCTCCAGGTAAACGGATTTCACTCTTTGCACCCCAGTTCCTATGTTACAATCTGAGAGTAGAGTTGGGTGGGAAGATGAAAATTTGCCACTTGCTGAAAATCAGCAGGATCTGTAACTTGCTGCTTGGACCTTTAAACTCACAGTGCAGATTGACTGTTGTCACCTCATACCTGCACAGCAGTAACGCTTCACCTCATCAGTCTGTGTCAGGGCACCCACATCACAGGCATTTTGCAAACATAGTAAAAAGACAGATCTGTGCTAAGCAGCTGCTGCTGACTAACCACAGGATCAGGTGATAAAGAGCAGCATGGGAGTCTTAACCAGCCTCCAACACCTTTGATCTTGGCTACCTTCAGACGAGATACTGACAGCTGATGTTTTATATTTTAGATTCTAGACTCAGAGCTTTTTGAATTGATGCACCAGAATGGAGATTACACTCACTTTTACTTCTGCTATCGCTGGTTCCTGCTCGACTTTAAAAGAGGTAATGTTCTATGCCTATAGTTTAGAGTTGTGCAAAACTGTGAACAGCTCTGTGTTTTGGTCTAAATGTCTGGATGGTGAGTAGCAGCTAGGCTCACGAGAGTGTTTGTAGCTAGCAAAGCTAATGCAACTCTCAGAGATGAACTAGCACTGGAATGAAGTCAAAGCTTAGAAAGGAGCGTTGTAAATTCCTGATAATGTGGTTGGAGCCAAGTTTCTGCTCACTGCAAATGCCCGTTTGCTCAAGAAGGTGATCCCAAGTTGATCACGCTCCTTTGTAAGCTTTGATACCGCCTTTCTCATCCATTTCATAACAAGGAGCAGCTCAGCAATAGCTCAGGAGCTGTCGTGCTTTGCTGAGTGAGGTACTTTATATACTGTGGGAGCACCCCAGGATCCCTGCACACCCACTCTAACAGAAGTAGTTGCTTGTAATCATTGGGTACAGTGTTACTGAAAAGACCCATCTTGCTATCAGGCAAGTCAGTAGCTCCTTTGCATTACAGATTGACCTGCAAGAATCAAAAGAAGACATCCCTCTCAAATAACCTAAAGCACAAAGGTGATAGAGGGAGATGATACACATCCATCAGCTATTTATTATGAGCAACTACCTGACAGTGAGGGGGGAGGAATTGTGACTTTTAAGTGAATAGTAAATCCTCTAGCTACTCCTTCACAGAGAATTGCCTGTCCCTGACATCCCAATCCCCTGGACCTCACTGTCAGACTGGGCAGAAGATGAGCCTATATGGTTCAAGAAGACAAAGCTTCCACGGGCCGTATCTGAATTGCGGCATGTGTAGACCTAGCTTACCCACATCCACTATACAATTAATTGTTGCTGATTAAAAATAGCAGAGCTCTTGCTCTGATCGGCTCACTGCAAAGCCAAGAAGGCGGCCCTGGATATGCATTCAGATTTGCAGCCTGTCATGTAGCCCTACCTAGAACAAACGGGCCTGCCTGTGCTGCTACCACATGGTTACTGCAGTTTAGGCATCTTCCTGGGGTTGAGTCTGCACCACCACAGCTACATTCTTTCTTAATTTTCCTTTAAACCCAATTCTGTTGCCGTACTTGCACAAGTAAGTGACAGGAGTTGGCTGGAGGAGAGGGGGAGAGGAAAAGGAGTCATCATCGAGTACTATTCATGTCTGCATAAGGCCTGTAAGACGTTAGTTAGAGAGGGGGAAATGGTCAATTTGAATAATCAGATGCTCTTGTAATGTTTATTCCCATTCAGAATTGTTGTACGAGGATGTATTTACAGTGTGGGAAGTTATTTGGGCAGCAAAGCACATCTCTTCAGAACATTTTGTCCTTTTCATTGCCTTAGCACTTGTGGAAGTTTATCGAGAGATTATCCGTGATAACAACATGGACTTCACTGATATCATCAAGTTTTTTAATGGTAAGAGACTTTAAGAGAGCCGTTTTGATAAAAAGCAAGTAATGAGAGTTTGCTCCTTCTCCCTTACTCAGACTAACTGTCTGCAGTTGTGCAGTGTTCTTGCTGTCATGACAAGCCCTGGGTCATGTTAAGCTCTGAATCTCTTACCCCTTCATATAAATGAAGAGCCCAGATTTTCACGTGCTTCCTGAAGATCTGACTTGGCACACACAAACAACGTTTTAAGAGCTACATGGACCACAGAAGATGGTAGCTTTTTCAGTGTCAGTGGTAATTTTTACCACAAAGCAAGCTTCAGAATTTCTGTTAACAAGATTTGCCACAGTGACTCTTTGCCCTTGGTTTAATGGGAGGTGCTAAAATGTTGCTTAATTTTTTGCAAAAATCTCTCGCGGGTTTTAAGATTGCCAGAGTCATTTCTGTTTACAGGGCTTGACCCTGCTGAGGCTGAAACATATAAGCAACTGTTCGTGCAAAACATCCCAAACCGCTTCCATGGTTGATTGCTTACCGTAGTGGTCCATCGATGCTAGCCAACGTGTACTGCCAGAGCAAAAAGTATTCTGCCAACGCAAGCTAGGTCTCTTCCTGGCTGCAGAATGCAAGTGCTCCCTGTTAGGATATTTTAAGAGGTTTGGAAACAATTTTGTGTAATCACAGTAATTTACTAAATGATCAATGCTGTGGCTTTCAGCCATCTGTTGCAGAAGCCCCAAATTTGGTTTTGTTTTTGCCTCAGCCACTCTTATTCCAAAGCTGTACATTAATGCTTCCCTCAAAAAAACCCCACCAAAACAAAAAAAACCCACCCCCAAAAAAACAAAAACCCGCCCCCCAAAAAACCAAACAAAAACCAGCACTTGCCTGAGCTGAATGAAATGTTTGATGTGGAACTGAGGATTCAGGTCTGTTGAGAGCTACTTTCTGATCTTACTTCAAGCTGCAGCGTGCGGACGTCTGTATGTGGAACCATGTGGGCGCGTCGCTCCATGCACATGAAGCCCTTCCTAATTGTAGTTATCATTTGCATCCCAGACACTCCAGCAATAGTCCCTGCCTGGGAGAGGCATCTTTTGATCAAGTTGAGTTCAGCTTTACATTTTTGGGATCCCAGGAGGGCTGTTCACAGGCACGTGTAGGTACAGACCTCCCATTCTTGGTCGGGGGTCACAGGACACTGGGATTTCTGCAACAAGAGAACTGACACCCGAAGGATTAGATCTTGATGCCAGGACCTACAGCACTAAGGGATTCATCCACTTATTCTATTTTTAATTCTACAAACCTAACCCCCTGCAATGCTTTTGGATCGCTGCTAATGTTACACTAATTAATTAATGCTAATGCTACATTAGTGTCAATGCTAGGGCAGAAAAGTTCCTGCTGCTGACAGTTAAGAATGTTTGTCTGTGTCTTTTAGAAATGGCAGAGCATCATAATGCCGAGGAAATTCTGAGGATAGCAAGAGACCTTGTCTACAAAGTACAGACACTGATTGAAAATAAGTGATAATGAACAGACTGTCATTTGAGCCCTGTTGTGAGCTATCGGATGGAGCATTTCTTGCACTGCAACTTCAAAATGGTGTTTTAATTGCATCTTCCATGTAATGAAATAAATATCTAAGAGATTTGTAACAGACTTTTAAAACCAGAACTTTTCCTTCACCAGATAAGGTTTGTGTTTGATAGTCCTTGTTACACTCACTTTGTATTTCTAGACAAAATCTTTTTGCATTCTCTGATTTCCCTCTCTAGAAGACTGTCTATCTACATATTTGAGATACTAAAAAGGGGGGATTTGACATACTAGAACATTTATATTTTGACTTACTGCACCTTTAAAGCCTGGATGCACGTTGTGTGCTCTGCCAGAACCTTCCATGGAGGTAAGGCTGGATCCAATACTTAGCAAGTGTTGCAAGCATTGAATTGGGTCCTTGGAGGAGCACGTTCATGGACTCCGTGTCTATGCCTTGAACATGGAAGAGAATGCGTATGAGCTCCTGTTGCTAAAGCATTTGGATCTTTATTTAGAAGAATATTTAGCAGCAATTAAAGTAAATAAGGTTACCAGCTGGGAGAATGGCCTTAAACTGAATAACATGGTTAATAGATCTGGCAACATTAGCTAGAAACATCAGTTAGCCTTTGCTGACTAGCTCATGCTACTGAGTCTTCATGGCCTGCGCATGCCACAGACATGCCTTCATTTTGCTTTGCAAACTTACTCTGCAAATACTCCCTGATGACAAGATCTGCCTAATGTAGTTCAGGTTAACGCAAGTTTAGCACACAGAAACAGGTTCCCTGCTTGTGTTAGCAGCTCCCACGCTCATTGCGTCTGTGCAGAGTGCCCTGAAGTTCAGAGCAGACACAGCAGAGCCTTGCCTCCTCCAGATTACTCACTGCACACTACTAGCCTCCTCTTCCCTGCTCTGCAGAGCTTTCTGCGAGGAATTTCCTTGGGATCCTGCGAACACAAACCAGGCGCCCGTCTACTCAAGCAGGTATCGGCACTTGCCAGATGAAGCAGTTGAAATTGTTGCACGGGATCCGATCCACTTTGCTGCAGCACCGTGCTGGTTTGCAGAGCCGTCCGTGTGCCCCATGGAAGTTCTGTGCCACTTCTTCTCCTGCTTGGCCGCGTGCTTTAAGCAGCGGCACACATTTCACCCCATCCTGCACAGAGAGCAGAGGTGACTGGTGGTTAGCTGGGCTCCTGCCCTGGAGCTGCAGACAGGTCTGTTGCTGTCCTAGCACTTCATCACGCTGTATAAAATTACCACACATACTCTACCTACTTTCCCCGGGGTGCGTGTTGTTTCTCAGTAAAAGTGTATCTCTGTGTCAGCGAGAGGGAGGGAGGGAGGGAGCAGATTTTTGCTAATGGCGTTAGCTGCAGATTTCATGGATACTCGTGACCTGTGCTCCTAGAAAACCTCGGGACTTAGTTTAAGCACTTCAAGTATTCCAAAGTATTCCACCCTTTACCATTCGAACCTCAGTGATTTTAAAAAATCTGAATTTTTGAGTTTCTGCTTTTTTTTTTTATCCTTCAGAGCAGACAGGGTTACACAGCTGCATTTCCATTGAACCTCGTAGAGAAAACAACTCTGTGCTTTTCATAGAATCACAGAACGCTTTGGGTGGGAAGGGACCTTTAAAGGCCATCTAGTCCAACCCCCCTGCAATGAGCAGGGACTTCTTCAACTAGAGCAGGTTGCTCAGAGAAGTTTACATGAATTAGATCAGCTCACATGAGCTTTAAAATCAGATTTTAGCAAAAAGGGGTATAGGGAATAAAATTATTCTGTTTGAAGCTTCAAATACTGATAGGAGGTATTTGCTTTAGTAACTCTGGTCTTGTTATTTGCCAAGCAGTGGGCACCCTTGCTTTTTGCACTAGATAAGCGCTGCCTTGGGGTCCTCAGGAGCTTGAGCACTGCTTGTACAAGAAAAAGGCAGATTTGGTTCTAGAAAGACCATCTGTGCTTAGATCTTCTTTTATGATTGCAGTAAATGAAAAATGGTAAATAGTAGTCTGAAAATGGAAAAAATGGACACAAACTTCTCAGCTCAACAGCCAAGCCCTCCCTTAAATTGGTCTCAAAATTTTGAGGGGAGGTGAAGGGAAAAAAAAAAAAAAGTCCCCCGTTGCTGGTGTAGGCAGATGCCTTCAGGGACGAGCCTGTTGTGCTCTGGGCTCACGAGCATCACAGTCACGAAACAGAAGCGAGAACAGATGAGCCCACTCAGAGCTGAGAAAGGTGCTGCGGAGGAGGCTGTTGGGAAGGAAACCCCCTTTCTGCGCATAACAGTGCTAAAATAACAACAGTGGGAGTTACAGAAGGGAAAAGTTATGATAAGCTCTACTGCCTGCCCCCGCGCGTCCAAGAGTTAGGGTGTGCTCAGGACTAGGAGCCAAGAAGTTGTACTGCAGGCATGCTCGCAGCCTGATCGCATCGTTATTTATAGCTGTATGTCCGACTGTCGTACAGGCCAGTGCACGGTTGCTGAAAGGTCTCAAAAGTGCTTCAGTTTGTGTGTCTGCTCATTTGAAAAGTGAAATAGTATTTTTTAAAAAATTGACAGGAGTGAGAAAACCCTCCAACTCACAGAGCCGAGGAAGTAATGTAAAAAAATAAAACTGCACTATTTTTCTTTGCTATGTTGGGAATGTACTATACAACTCTGTTTAAAAAAAACAAAAACGAACCTCTGCAAACTTTGTTGTATTTGTTATAACATTCTGTCTAATTGTATTTTATGAATATTGTGTATTGACTTATTTATTTTTGTTGGGAGCAGACTATTGTCTTTACTGCTCAATTATTTATGTTTAAATGTAACATATTAATAAATACTTATCGTCAAGGCATTCTGTGGAGCTCTTTGGAAGTGACTTCTCCCCCCCCCAAGGTAACTTCAGAGACAGAACAGGGAGTCCTAAGGACAGGGCTGTCTGGGAAGAGTACGATATGTAATTAACATTTCTGTGATGAGCGGGCATGGGCTACTGTACTAAGCAGTAGGTCATCACCAGATGGGCTGCTAATGTCCCTTAGATGGCTTTAAGGGTAGATTTAAGTAACACGCAGTGCCAGTGCGTGCCTAAGAGCACCTATCGTCTCAGGCCGAGCCTATTGCCAGTTCAGCCCTGGGGAAGGAGTGGGAGCAGAAGCAGGCCTATGACAAGTGTTAAAAAATAAAAGTTTCATCCTGCAATTTTAGGCCTGATTGTGCTGCAGCTAGCATTAAATCAAGCCGAGCTGTTGGGCTTCCAGGAGAGATCCTCCTTCATCTCTCCCAGTCCCCCCTTCAAACCTCTTAAAAATCCTCCGGCTGCTTCTGTTCTGTAGCAGGGACAGTCCCTCTTCAGAACTTGCCATCATCTTACCCACTGGTTGGTTTGCTGCTGGCAGTTTTCGCAGCGATTTTCCAGGTTTTTAGGCTGGAGAGCTCTGCCCAGAGGTGCGTCCCGGGGGGATAATGGAGCATTTCCCCATTTTACTATAAAAACACCCAACAAGTGCCTCTTTGTACTGGGGTAGGTGCAGCCATCCCTTGGCCATTGCTCGTGACTGTTAGAGCTGTTAATCATGTATTTATCCTTATAAAAGAGGATAAGCCCTTTATGAAGTGTATCCAATGATATGTTGGCTTAAATAATTTTCTAGTGCCACTGTGTCCTCTGCCTTCATCGTGTCTGGATGGTGGGACTTGGGGTGGGCAGGGAGATGTGGGTACTACACCTGGGATTACACATTGGCTTTCCTTTCTACGGGACCCTCTTTCTTATTACACACACACACACACACACACACACCCCCCAGCTTTCTCTTTGCAAATTCTCAGAAACTTTTAAAGTAGATACTTAGACAGTTGTCCCCCAAAGCTGCAGAGTCCCTGCAGCAACAGGAATTTATTTCTGCAAGATGCAGCATCCCAATGAAGTTTCATCACCTTGAAAGTCTCACTGCTACCGACTACCAGAAGAAAACCAAACCAGAAGAAATTGCCACGGTTTCCTGCCCCTTTTCTGTAACCCAGAGCCAGCGCTGGCAGCCTGGTGAGGGTTCAGCTGCTTTCTCCGCTCCACCACTCGTTCTGCCAAACACAGCAACTTTGGCCATCACAGTTTAGTGCCACATATCGCAGTATGCTATTAATTAGTCCAAGGCTTGCCTTCCCTTTTCAGAAGCTCTACCTCACCTAGAAATACTTCTCAGTTTCCCAAATAACAAAAAAACCAAAACCAAAAAGCCAACCCCATGCAAGCACACGAACAGTGCTGGGTTTGGCAGGCAGCGCTTCACCCCTCCCCAGCTTTGAACCAGGCTCCCTAAAGCCTCGCCTCTGTAGTGCCAGCACTCGCCTCATTTTTTGCATTGCTCGTCCTCCTGGATATCCTCTAACACCGCGGTAAGTCACACA